GGAAACTGTGCCATGCACTATTGGTTGGTCTCCATATCGTGCCCTGTGTGATGACACCACAACACGCACCTCTTTGTTAGACATATCTGAGTTGTTTCCAAACAATGTGCTCCAGCTGGGATTTTTAACACTATGTTTTTTTTCTGGGTTCTGGTCGTAGCTGGGTGACTTCGAACAAACTAACATTTCCCCAGCTCCTGGGCCTTAATGTACCCAAGTCTACCCTGGGGGGAATGAGCCATGTCAGGAGGTGTAAACTCCTGTGCCCAGGGGGCCCACTTAGACAGGTAATACGAAGGAGCTGAAGCTGCCTGGATGGGGCTGAGGCAACCAGAGTACAGAGGTGCTCAAGGCAGACAGTCTCAGTGCCAGCCCTCCAGGGTCCCAACAGTCTTATCTCCACCCAGTAGGGAGGGACAATAGTATGTGTGGAAGTGGGAGAGGTGGTATGCCCCATGGCCTACTAGTTCCCCTAGGGGATCAGCATGCACCAGCCCATGTGGCCTTGTGCAGCCACACATGGACCCCAGGTTATTATGTGTGCTTATGTGCAGGCAGCTCTGTCCTGTGTTTGTGCACATGTATTCACCTGCGAGTGGCTGGCCATGTGTCTGGTAGCCCCCCACTTTGTGTGCTTGCTGGTCTGCACCCATCTGGGCAGCAGATGCAGGGGGAGGGGAGTCTTAGCTCACACATCCAAGCAACACCATGAGCTGTTGCTTCCAGCTTATCTTAAAATAGAAACAGCTGAAGAAACCAGGCCACACAGGGCCCTGGGGGAGGGATGGGTGGAAGGTGGCAGGGGAATGGCTCAGAGCCCCTGCCCAGCCCTGTCTCTGAGCCTCTATCTCCCTCTAGCTCAGAGGAGCTACCAAGGTTATCTCTGGGGTCCTGATGCCTGCATGGAGCCTGACCCAAGGGGGTAGGGATAAATGGGTGACTGAATGTGCTGCTTATCTCCCCATCCCATTCAGTGGAAATGATGGAAGTGCAGGAGGCTGCCAGGTGCTGGGGAGAGGGGTATGGAGAGCCCCGCTCTGCTCTCCACCCACAGTTTCAAGCAGGATCTGGAGGGATTTCACTCCTCGTGTCTGCATTCCATTTCCAAGGCATTCCAATTAAACAATTTAATTTGAAACTCTGGTGGCACTGCCAACAAAGCCTAGCCTTCCCCTAATCAGCCAAGAGCTCCCCAGGGTAGTAATGTGGGGGGCATTCCCAGCTGCCCTCACAGGCCCTGTCCCTTCTCTGCCGCAGCCCGAGGAAGTGGCCCAGGAAGCTGCTGAGGAGCCACTGATAGAGCCCCTGATGGAGCCAGAGGGAGAGAGTTACGAGGAACCACCCCAGGTGAGGGGTGGAAGGGCTGGGTGGGGCTTTGGGCATCCCAGAGGATTGCTGCCATCCCCAGCTGGAGAGAGACAGGTCCCTGGAAGGGTAGGGTTGGGCCAGGGAGCTTCAGGCCCCCCTTTTCTAGAACCCAGGCCCCAGGAGGTGGCAGCAGGGAAGGAGGACAGCTGGGATATAGCATGGGGCCCCAGGTACCCCTGCCCAGAACTGGCCAGGTTGTCCCCAACTTCCAGGTTTCTTCTTGCCAAGGGGAAGGGGATGCACCCTTCCTCCTAGAGGGGGAGGGCTCTCGGGCCCAGGGCCTGGCCACTTGGTCTCCAACCCCTTCCTCTGTTACTCTTCTCCACTCCACCCCCATCCCTCTGATACAGGAGGAGTATCAGGAGTATGAGCCGGAGGCGTAAGGGCCCACGATGGACCCCCACCAGCAGCACAATCCCTTCCCTGTCCCTGCCCCACCCCCCCAAAGCCAGGGCTGTCCTTCTACCCCTTCCCCACAAACAAGAGATCTTCCTTCACTCCGAGGCGCCCCCTCGGAGCCTGTGTTAGTGTCTGTCTATCTGTCTGTCCCACCTGCCCGCGTCCAACCCTGGGGCCTGGACAGGGCTGGGGCTGCAGCCACGACTGGGAGCCTCTCCCCAACTACGTTGCCACCTCCCCGCCCCATCCCTTCCACCGTGTGCGCGGATGTAGCATGTTCTATATGTTTTTAAACGAAAATCTGAAAACGACGGCTCCCTCCCGCTCACCCCCGACAGAGGTTCTCTAAGGGGCCACCTGGTAGACCCAGAGTCTCCCACCCCACTCCCACGCCGACCCCAAGAACCTTTTTTTAAACTAGAACCAGGAGCCAGGCTGTGCCATGTCCCCTCCCCCAGCCGGCCCGGTCCAAGAGCGGACGTCGTGTGTCGTGATTGTGGCATGGAAAGTCCCCTAACCTCCGTGTGAGCGTGTTCCAGGCGGACGGCATAGCCGCCCCCAGCGTGTCCATGAATAAAGCCAATCTGTCTGTAGCCGGTGCCACATGGGCAGGAATGGACTAGACGCCGAATGGGAGTGGCCGACAGGCTTCCAGGTCCCAGCCTGCCCACTCCCTTCTTTGGGGCCCGGCACGCTTGGCCCAGATACCAGACTGACCATCTCCGGCCTCAGCTTCTCCATCTCCCACCCTCTCCCAGCATGACCAAGAGAGAGGGAGTTACCCCAGGCTGGGACACCCCGTAGGCTAGGAAGCTGGAAGGCGGCCTCGGGCGCCACCTGCTGGGCCGTAGAGCGCCTATTAGGGGTGCAGGGCGGAGGGAAGCCCCGCGCCGCCACAGCGCAGAGTGAACTGACTCACACCTCGCCTCACACCCAGCGCAGGCGCGCGACGGACACGCACGCGCGAACATGAGAGCACGTACGCTGGTCCCTGCGCTCCCAGCCCCAGTGTACGCACTCTGGCAGGCGCGCACGTGCAGACACGCGTGCACGCAGGCTGGGCGATATGTGCACACTCAGTTGCATGCGCGCCGCAGAAAAATCTTCGGAAACAAGCAGCGCGGCAAGTGAAAGACGCTGTTACGCGCATCGACCTCTTTCCCCATTCACATAACGTTTACACGCACACACACCTGAGTACACCTGCCCAACGCAGAAAAACCCATCCAAGAGCAGGGGAAGTAGGAAGCTGCCCCAGAAGGAGGCAGTGCTCCACCCGTCTTTGAAAGGCAACCGAAGGTTTGCGGCCTCGGCTGAAGTGGGCGAGGGTCCGCAGAAATCCGGAAGCCGACCAGGATCGACACTAGAGGGACCCCAACACCATCTCTGTGTAGCGAAAAAGGTGGAGACTCCGCGGAGCTACGCAAAGGCCCCTCTTCCGTCAAGGCGAAGGCACTGCTCTCATTGGTTCAAAAGCTCCCCACATCGTACCTGCGCCGAGACCCCACCCCCATCGGTGCTAGGCCCCACCCTCACCGATTGGGCGCTTTCGCCCTCTTTGCAGCAGAGTCCCTCTAACTTCGCTTCCACTTAGGCCGGGTCTGGGTCCAGGAAGAAGCCTAGCTTAGCTTTGCCGCAGAGCCCCCGAACCTCACTGCGCAATACTCCACCCCCTTCTCTGCCTGGTCAGACAGCCTTTCCGACTCCAGCCCCGATCCTGGAAGGAGCCTGCTCTATTCAGTCTACCCCCAAGTGTTAGCGCCGCCTCCTTCCCTGAGTGATTGCGGGCAGTGGATGGTGCCAGGCTCGGGAATGCCTTGAGCACTGTGGGAGACGGGTCCACTCGGGTCATCTTGGCCTGCAGTGTACCGAGCCTTTACTTCCGGAAGTCGGAGGCAGCTGGCAGACGTGTATATAAGGAGAACAAACCGGTGGGCTTGGATTCTCTGACTCAACGTGCCAGTTCCAGGATATCCAGATTCCTTTTGGCTGAATTAGGACACGATTTACAACCTAGAGTCCGCAAGGATTGCAAACACGTGGCCCTCAGGTTGAATTTGACCTGTAGACGTGTTTAATTTGCTAGCACAAAGTTTAATTTTTTTTTTCATTTGATTACAGTTGGCAACAGTACCTTTTCCTATTCACTCATTTTCATAAACTGCCTGGTCCCTAAAGAATTTGAGTTTGCCACTACCTCTCCAGCTACCAGCGCCTGATCCCCAGTTTTAGATGCCAAAGTCAGGTTCATCATCTGGCTTTTGTTGGGGCGGGGGTATTCTTCCTTCCCAAGTGCCAAACCACGCATCTGGTTTTCTGAGCCTGGTTTTCTGCTCAGAACCAATGTTTTCATCTGCCGTGGTCACTTTAAATGCATTCCAAGCACAGGCCCAGAAGCATCAGCGGAAGATGCCAGCCTTGTGTCAGATGACAGCCCTGACAGGCTGCGCGTGTGAGGACACACAACTCATGGCCCCTCCCTCATGACAAGAATGGAGCTATTTCCCAAGTGCCCATTGTGTCCCAAGCATCCGACACTTGTCCCATTAATTTCACTTGAAATTGTGCTCAAGGATTACTTGTTATTAGACCCAATTTACAGACAAGAGAATGGAGGCCAGAGAAGCAAGATTACCTGCCTTGGAGAATGATACTGGGAAGTGGCAAGGCCACATTCAGCTGGAAGCCTGACCCAGAAGCCCAATTTTCCAAAAGGCATGTGCTTTTAGGGGACACAAACAAAATCACCAACAGTAGAAAAACATGGGGGCAGCAGAGCGGAGATAAAAGATACTTGTGCAATTCCATGCAAACTGCAAGTGCGATTGTGTGTATATGTGGGGGGCAGCGTGATGGGGGTGTATCTACACGTGTACACAGATGTGGCCCACGTGTGTTTTGTGGGTTTATTTAGTCATCTAACTGTGTGTTGCACACCCGCTCTGTTCTTAGAAGTGAGGGGCTACAGGGAACAGCTCAGCAGGTCGCCGCCCTGACAGAACTCATGTCCCATGGATCAACAAATACATGGATCAAGATACTTTTGAGTTTTACAGGGAACATAAAACATAGCTATGTGATAGAATGTGACAAGGAGGAGGTAGTGACCAACATTAAATTGGGCGGTCAGCTCAGGCATCTGAAAAGGCGAGGTTGGAGCTGAAACCTGCATGGAAGATCTGAGAAGAGCATTGTAGCAAAGATGGAGCCCACCTCTCTGTGTCTTCAGGAACACAGGGTGTGTGGTCAGCCCAGTGAGCCCAGCTAGGCCTCCCAAGATATGTGGGTCCGGCCCCACCTTGCCTGACCCACACCTTCCCTTCGTCTGTGGTCTTTCCTCCACAGCTGCCCTCAATTTTGCCTGCTGAAACATTTCCCTCCTCTGAGCTTTCTTTAGTCCTCCAACCAGAAGTGATTTCCCCCCATCACCCCCTTCCTGCTCAGCTGTGCACACAAAGACCCCCTCCCCACCCATGTCAGCGCTCTGCGGACCTTTGCCAGCTGGCTAACATAGAAACTGCCCCCCCCTTCCCGATGAAGGGTTGGGGGCCGTCTCCACCCCTCCAGCTCCCCACCCCTTCCCCACCCCCTAGTAAAACAGCTCCACAGCTTTCTCTGGAACTTTATTTTTGTTTTCTCCCTTCTCTATTTATAGCTCTCTCCCCTCTAGAATCATCCCTGCATCCATCCCGTTGCCTAGAAACCGGCTCTGGGCTGAGGGTGGGGGAAGGCCAGGCCAGCCCAGGCAGGGGAAAGGAAGAGCTGTCACCCACTCCTCTCAGCACTGCTCCCAAGCTCCCAGAAGCCCACCTCACCCGCCCTCTGCCCAGCACCCACGGGTGTTTTTTAAGAGATAAAACAAAATGTGAAAAACAGCAGCCTTTGTGAAGTCCTTCCAGCTTCTAAAGGGCATAAAGCATGTGATTTCCCTCAGCGCCTCTCAAGAGCCTACCTTGCCTGGACCCACTTTTTTTGGATGAGGAAACTGACACTTCAGGAAACAAAGTTCCCATAGCTCAAGTCTTCTCAGTAGAAATTCCATGGCTTTGGACTTGTTTCCTGTGGGATAGTGGCCTGAAACACTAAAAAAATACGTTTTAAAAGCATAACTAATCCCACAATCTATTAATTTCAGAAGGGTAAAGAGAAAAATTTTGTCATGATCTTGCCACACACCAAGCCACCAGTTCTGCCTCCACCACACTCCCTGCCATACATTCTGCCATGCCCCCCAACCATGGCCCCCAAATGCTCCTGCAATGCCCCACCATGTCACCCCACATTCCCCCTACCATTCTCAACTGCAGCTCGACTCCTGGCCCTAATGCTTACCTTCCACAAATTGGATGGGGAAGCCTGAGCTTGCTTCCTGGCTCTGTTACTTCACCAACTATGTGACCTCGGATGGTTCACATAACCTCTCTGTGCCTTCCTTGGCCGGAAGAATGCTAATTTCCACCCCATAAGACTAAGGGAATTAAATGTGGTACTGATGAGAAAGTGTTGCAAAAACCGTCGAGTGCTGTAACGTGTGATCAATTAGAATAATTAATATTATTATTATTAATAATATCATTATTAGGGCCAACAGGTGGGACCTGGGCTTACAAAGGGAGCCCCTGGCCCTTGTCCAGGCAGAAGGACCCCTCTCTCGGGCAGGAGGAGGGGCACAGATGGGGGCTGCCTGAGAGCATTGGCAGACCACTGAGGAGTGGAAGAGGGCAGAGGCCCTCTTGTGCCCTACTCCTCCTGTTCTCAAGTGCCTCCATCCCTACTGCTTCATTCCCTGTCTCCCACCCCAAGGCCCACCACTGCCTTTGAAATAGGCTCTCTGGACAGAATGAGGGAGAGGTCTGCCAAGGAGCAGCTGGGCCATGATTCAGCCTGAGTCATCTATCTAAATCCCAGGGCCACCCCCAACTGGGCTGGGTCCTGCAGCTGCTGGGGGGTAAGGTTGTGAAGAAGGGGGGAAGGAGCCTGTGTGGGCAGCAGGCTGTGTTCATATGTGCCCAGGCCAGGGGCTCTCATGAATAACAGAACAGTGCTGTGAGAGACTGGGAGTAGTACATATGGGGAGGTCATAGAAGGGAAAAAGACCCCATGGACATCAGTTATCTGGCTGACTGAGGAGGCAGGGTTTCCGCGCATGTGTGCGTGTGTGTGTGTGTGTGTGCGCACGCTGTGTGCGCACGCGCGTGCGCGCGCATGCCTGCGTGTGTGCGTGCACATGCTCCCACACATGCATAGAGTGTCGCGGGTATATCTGAGTAAATGAAGAGGCGCTAATAGTGTGGGCTGGAGTTTGGCTCCCAGCTTTGTCACTTTCCAGCTCTGTGACCCTGACAAGTTACTTAGCCTCTCTGGTCTTCTGTTTCCTCACCTATGAAATCGGAATAATAAGATTATCAATCTCAGATGGTTTTCTTTAAGGAGTAAATGTAATGAGATGATGACTGTAAAACAATTAGGCAGCCAATAAATGGTACACCACCGTCATTATCAGCATCTAAGGTATATTGAGTT